ATGAAAATTCATTAAATTAAGTCTGCCACATATGCAAAAAAAAATAATGTAACGAGGATTTTTTTAATCGCTGTTGCATGATGATTCTTTCTCTTCTAATGTCATTCTCAATTTTTTCCGCATTTTGTTTGCTTTTGTTCTTGAAGTTTTTTTAAACGAAAGACATTCTTTAACTCTGCGTACCTTATTGCAATCGTCATAGCTAAATGCTGGATTTATTTCCATAAAACGGACAACCTTTCAATAGCTTTTTCAATTTCAGTCAAGGTTTCATCACAATCATGCATCTCGTCGCTATCTTATTGCAGATGTGTCTCGTTGTCATCATTTCCTCTTATTCTCATCATCTTTTGCACCAATGCAAGCCATTAGGGTGAAATAAGCATAAGCAATTATCCAAAGGAAATTTCCTGAAAAACAGAAATTTCAAATCAGTTACATATCACACAAATAGTTCAAATATATACATCAAAATCATGCCCGGATATGCGGGATTCCGGATATGAGTCACTCTGGATGTGAGGCAATCCGAATATGAGGGATTTCGGATATAAGAGATTCCGGATATAAGGGATTCTGCTGTATTGATAATTTAGAATGCGCCTTTAATCAAAGAAATATAATTTCGTATTCGGTTTGAAAAGAAATAAATCGCAATATTAAATTTTAAATTTATTAAAGTAAGTCCTTGATCCGGCCATGCTGTGAAGACATCGACTACCCTCGTCTTCACTACCATTATCGCCATCACTAGAAACGTCCGCCTCATTAACGTGTATTGTGTGAATGTAATAAAAGCTTTGATCTATCTTGACAAAGCTAATGGGAGGATAACGCAGATTAGAATTTGTGGAGCGATAAGTTGCTTAATGATTAAAGGAAATCAAACATAATCTTCGTTAAAACAAATATAAGGATCATTTTATCACGCACAACAAACATACACGCTGACAAACTCGATCAAATAAATACAGAGAATTTTTAGAACATATACAGTTCCGGAAAGGGTGCTTCGATGTGATGCAGTGGTTGGCAATTACGAGTGTGTAGGGACTTCTATCCCCACTCGGTGTTCCATACTTGTGACCTTGTGACACATTTAACCTGCGTTTATTAAATCAATATAAAACTGCATTTACTCACTTCGACATAATGTAATGATTAACAAACTTGTCTCGTTAGATCAATTACGACTGCCTAGTAAGTTCGATACTCAGCGGGTTCTCCATACTTCCGACCTTCGCTTAAAAAATCGGCATTCAAACACACACACAACACACGTAAACACTCACAAACTAAAAAATAAATAAATAAATAAACATAAAAAAGACTTTAATACATATACAGGATGCGATGGATAAATTATCGTCTAAATGACGCAAAAATGAAAACAACACTAACATCTCAATTTAACAGATATATTTAGATCAAAGCTTTTATTACATTCGCACAATACACGTTAATGAGGCGGACATTTCTAGTGATGGCGATAATGAAGACGAGGGTAGTCGCTGTCTTCACAGCATGGCCGGATCAAAGACTTACTTTAATAAATTTAAAATTTAATATTAAGATTTATTTCTTTTCAAACCGAATACGAAATTATACTTCTTTGATTAAAGGCGCATTCTAAATTATCAATACAGCAGAATCCCTTATATCCGGAATCTCTTATATCCGAAATCCCTCATATCCGGATTGCCTCATATCCGGAATCCCGCATATTCGTACATCATTTTGATGTGTATATTTGAACTATTTGTGTGATATGTAACTGATTTGGAATTTCTGTTTTTCAGGAAATTTCCTTTGGATAATTGCTTATGCTTATTTCACCCTAATGACTTGCATTGGTGCAAAAGATGATGAGAATAAGAGAAAAGGATGACAACGAGACATCATCTGCAACAAGATAGCGATGAGATGCATGATTGTGATGAAATTGAAAAAGCTATTGTAAAAGTTGTCAGTTTTATGGAAAGAAAGCCAGCATTCAGCTATGCCGATTACAATAACGCACGCAAAGTTAAAAAGTGTCTTTCGTTTTAAAAAAAAATCAAGAACAAAAACCAAACGAAATTATATTTCTTTGCTACTTAATATTTTTTGATTTACTGAATTGATTTTCTCTTCAGATGAAGGCGATGTACTCGCAGTATATTTTTGGGGGTAACTCTCATATACTTTCCATATAAATAAAGCTTACCTAGTAGTTCAAATAGTTCATCAGAGCATTCATATGATTCATCGATTATGCGAAAGCATTGCAAAAATACTTTGTTAAAAAAGTTTTGGTACCGTTTAATAATACTGCAGTACTGAATTAGAACTGCAGATTCCTCACTAATTTTAAATCAATATTAGATTTATTTATTTATTTAATGTTTAATCATTCCTCCCACCCAATAAAGGCATCAATGTCACTAGTACACAGCGGGTCACACAAAGTGAAAGAAAAAACTGAATATAGGAAGGACTGAGGAAAGGAAAAAACAAGAAGATACAGGATGGCGATTGACGCTGCATTTAATTTTTTTAAGATTGTAGGTACCTGGGAAGCAAATAAACGGAAAGATTTTCCACGGACGGGAAGTGCGAGAAAAGAAAATATTAGAGCAGAAGTGGCAGTTGCATTTAGCTATTTCAACATTAAAAGGATGGGACCTAGTTACCAATCTAATAGCACGCTTAAATTTATGTATTCGGGGCACCAGGGAATGAAAGCTTCCCAGAGCCGTTGCCATGAAAATATCTGTAGAAAAGACAGAGGGAAGCCACGTCACGTCAGTAAGAAAGTGACTAAAGTCGGAATGCCTGTTCAAGATTGATTACATTACAGATCATTCTTTTGATTTTGTCAAGAATCTCGAGATGAATAGCAAGAACGTCAGACCAGGTATGACAGCAGGTATTGTATGCTCGGGTGGGTTGTAGACTTCTAAATGTTTAAAATGAATTCTGATACGAAAAAGCTTTTGGCACGGCACAGTGACACAAGTTTACTTGCTCTTCTGAAATGTAACTTCAGCCACATTGATGGCAGGAAGAAAAGGTTCACTGTGGAGGTTAAATGAAAGGAGTTTTGTTTTGCAGTCGTTGAATATTCGTATTAATTGGCGGGAAGTCAGGTTGGTATTTTGACCGAGCAAGAAATTAGAAAAAGGATATTATACGAGGGAACCAGCCTTTCTTAATGCGGTAGACTGTTCTGTTTAATCTATCTTCTTTAAGGATGTAAGCGATCATCGCTAAACGGGGATTAGTCTTTATTATCTTTGAACGGTCTGGATTTCTAGGTAAAAACAGCGGACTAGTTTCCCGTTTATCGCCCCCTCGGTTTTGAATTCAGAATAGACTTTCTTTTCGCACCGAGGTCTAGAAAGCCCAAACTGTTTTACTATTTAATCCATAGCTTGATGGAAAAAAGAGGTAGATTTTTGCTTTATTTAAGGGAATAAATGCGGAAGCTAACACAGCAAACTAGGTCGGAATTTTAATTTACCTCGTCTAAAATCCTAGTCTATCCAGCATGCTGATTTCTATATAAATAAAACATTTTTGAATAGGTTACTAAGCTACTCTGCCAACTAGTAGTTATCTAGGTCAGTCAAGGACACCTGTGTATGAATTTCTGGGTATTATAAACCTAATATCTTCAGCAACCATTTTTACCAGTGCTCATATTGCAATTTTTGCTGTTATCATTGCATGTTTTTTCACCAGAGCTCATATTGAAATTTCTGTTGTTATTATCGCTTTTCTCTGGCACTCCTTATTACTGGTTCTCATATTGTATTCATTTCTATGCTTGGCCGGCTCAGAAGTGTTACAAATTCATGACGGTCGTTTTCGAGTATAGAATCCAGAGGTTGGTAGTGAATATTTCGGAGACAGTAGAAAGTGTAGTGCAGGTTCGCAGTGGATATCGCAGCAAAGTAACAGAGCGTAGTTCTTCCGTCTGTCATGTTTGTTGTTGGCTCTGGTCATTCTGATAGGGTAAACAAAGATGGCTGCCTTTATACACGACGGATACAATGTTCTGCGGCTTCTGATTGGTTAACCTTCTATTGGTAGACTATAAAGGGAATTAAGTCATTTTGACTAACTCACTAATCATATAACATATATACACAAAAAACTGTAACAAGAAGACTGTGGCCTAGCATATGTGCTGATTCCTTAAGGCTACGAATTTTCCAATGGTATTCTTTGTCTATGATCTCAACTTGATCCCACAGAGGGCGGTGATCTCCCTTTTCTCTCCATATGTCGTCAGCCATGCCTGATTTTCCACTTCCCTTCGAGTTACAGCTTTCTGGTGTTCTTGAAGCCTTACCTTAAGAGAGTGGCCTGTCTCTCCTTTATATTTCTTTCCGCAGCTGCACAGGATAGAGTACACACAGTCTTTAGTCATGTTCTTCCTCTATGGGGAGGGTCTTATTTGGGAGAGATATCTGCGAAGTGTCGTGCAGCTTTTGAAGGTTGTCCTGATGTTATATGGACCGAAAATCCTTTGTATTTTCTCTGATAACCCCTTCACTATATTAAATGTTGTATGTCATGGCCTATAAGACCCTTTCCTCGTAAATAACTTTAAAAATACCACCCACAATTTATTTGTGAAGGTCAGGTGTCTGATAGGCCTATATTTACTTCAGACATCAGGAGACGACCAAAATAACTGCTAGCCTTATTTCATAATACTGTAATAGAAAATGTAAATTGGCGGCCGTATAAGTCGTCGAATTATGTAAATGCCATTTCAGACGAAATGCGCCAATGTTTACTTGCACAGAGCAAAGAGAGTTTCCTTCATTAGCGAATCTTATCACGTAGAGATGAGTTCATGTCTGCAAAAAAGGAACTGGCATATTGTTTGGGGTCTCAATCAAGACGGTGTCTTAAGAGAGTCAAGGTTATTTAAAGAAATTATTCTGTCTGTCTATCTAGATATCTCGGTAGCTAGATATCTCAGACAATTTATATTTATACATCCATGTATGTTTGCTCATATCTATCTATCTATATTTGTTCATATCTATCTATCTATGTATCTATCTATGTCTGTTCATTATCGATCTATCTGTCTATCTACATATATATATATATATTAGTCTGATCATATCTATCTATTATAGTCAGTTTATATCTATCTATCTATCTCAGTCTGTTCATATCTGTCTACCTATCTATCTATCTATCTATCTATCTATCTATCTATCTATCTAGTTTAGTCAGTTCATATCTATCTATCTCAGTCTGTTCATATTTATCTATCAATCTGTTTTAGTCTGTTCATATCTATCTATTTATCTACCTATCTCTCTCTCTATCTATCTATCTATCTATCTATGTTTGTCCATATCTATCTATCTATCTATCTCTGTTCATTATCGCTCTATGTCTGTTCATTATCTATCTATCTCTTTCTCTCTCTCTCTCTCTCTCTCTCTCTCTCTATATATATATATATATATATATATATATATATATAGTTCATATCTGTTCATATCTAGCTGTCTATCTCAATCTGTTCATATCTGTCTACCTATCTATCTATCTATATAGTTTAGTCTGTTCTTATCTATCTATCTATCAATCTATCTATCTCAGTCTGTTCATATTTATCTATCAATCTATTTTAGTCTGTTCATATCTATCTATCTATCTATCTATCTATCTATTTTAGTCTGTTCATATCTATCTATCCATCTATCTATTTATCTACCTATCTATCTATCTGTCTGTTTATCTATCTGTCTATGTTTGTTCCTATCTATCTCTGTTCATTATCTATCTCTATCTATCTATCTATCTATCTATCTCTCTCTCTCTCTCTCTCTCTATATATATATATATATATATATATATATATATATATATATATTTGTCTTTTCATATCTATCTATATTAGACTGTTCATATCGTATCTGTCTACCTATCTATCTATCTATCTATCTATCTCACTCTGTTCATATTTATCTATTAATCTATTTTAGTCTGTTTATATCTATTCATCTATTTATTTTAGTTTGTTCATCTTTATCTATCTATCTATCTATTTTAGTCTGTTCATATCTATCTATCTATCTATCTATCTAGCTGTTCATTGTCCTCAATTTATCTATCTACTGTTACCTCTCGAAGAGGGTGGGTTTGTTAATCTAACCACCACCATTTATTAATATTTTACGTTGTCAATTAAATCACCCAGTGAAAAATGAATGTTTATTGATCTTGATTGTGCACCCATAGTGTAAATCACGACCCATCCCATCAGGTTTTGCAAGTACTAATGAATACATTTTAATAATTTATATTTGCGTAACAATTACCCACTTTTATTTGAATCTCTCCCTTAATTTGTTTGGAAATTGAAAGATCACTTTCATGATAACCCTCATTAATTCTACAACCAAAAGGTATTTATGGAGACTAATCGGTAGATTGGTTAATATGGCCGTAACGATGATGAAAAATAGAATTTAATCTTAAAATGTTTTTTTCAACATAGTCTCTTTCTTTTTTAAAGCACTCAATCCAGTAGTGCATATTAATCCGGTAGACTAAACAATAATACAAGAATTTAATACCGAACTCAGATAATAACAATCTGTCAGATCACGAAATTATTGCTCCATGCAGTACTCTTTGTATATATCCTGCTGTTAAATGAAGTTTATGTTTGTGTAATTAAGGGAACTTCTCTCATTCCCATATAGTGCTTCTGTGTTTCTTTTTGAATCTTGCAATAGCTTCGTATATTAGGCTATTTTGTAGGCATTTTCCTCTCCCACCATTTGCCTTAATCACTTGGTGGGACTTATATTGAGTCCACTATATATACAACCCATTAATGGTATTAGTGGCATTTAGCTTGAAAAATACATTGAGATATGAAACTGTCAGTCTCCTTGAAGTGATGATTCTCATGTCCACACTGCCTAAAGCTTTAATGACTCAATTTACGGCATTGAAAATTATTCCCTTATAAATATAGCAAATTTTAGACAATACACACACACATATATATATATATATATATATATATATATATATATATATATTTGAAATTTGTGTATTTAGGCTGCAATCATTCTTTCATGCACATTTCATTGAAAACGACAGACAACTTGCTTTGATTTACTTTTTTTTACAATTTCTCCTGCGATCTAATTTTTTTTTCTTTTCGGATCATAAATTATATAAAAACTGTCCGATTGTTCTTTTTATCCGAGCGCTTTCGGCTATACCTTTAGCCATTTTCAAGAATTATATATTAACTGTTAAAATAAGAAATAGTTTATTGTGTGTATGTTTTATAAAATGTTTTCATTTTTCAAAACACGGTCAAGATATTATGTCCATGTTCAAAGTTAATATTATTAAGTGTTGGTTTCTTTTTTTTATTAATAAGGCTTCCATTATTTTTAGCCTTTTTTGTATGTAGATGATGCTATTATATTAGTGTTGTCAACAAGTATGTTACGAATAGTGTCCGGTAGGTCCCCATGAATATTTAAATGAGATCTAATTGAGCTATGGTCAGAAAGGTGTAGAGTGAGTCTGCGTGTCAAACATGTTGTAGTGTGGCCTATATAATTATTTACGAATTTTGATTGATCAGGAATACAATTCCTTAATGGGCATTTTCAATTAAATGTGCATATATATATATATATATATATATATGAATGATAAATACGAATGTCATTGTGTCATAGTTTATAACTTTACTCCTAGAGGCCACAAACTAACTCCATGAGCAAATTAAAAACATTCACAACCGGATCCGGACCCGCAATCGTGAAATTTTGGATTCACAAGTTTTCATTATAGCGATTGATTTCGATGACATTTTCCATGTTATTTTTCTTCGACGATTTCTTTTTTTTTTTTTTTTTTTTTTTTGTACGATAACAATTTTATATCTTGGAAATAAATTTCAGAATAATCAAAATTAATTGCGAAATCCAGCGAAAGTCACCCATGAAATAAGAATAATTGTTTTTACAGAAATTAAGGACCTGCGTACATCAGAATGTCTTTAAATTAAGTGGCGACAGATGAATTATCGTTGAACTTTTAAAATATAAGCTTAAAATATTAATGCAATATTTAAATGCAGCGATCAATTTTGAGTTCTTCTATAGTTTATTGTTGCCTATCGCATCTACTCTTCCCTAACTATTGTGATTAAGGCCAAATGAATAGCCCTAAAATGCTACCCACTGGGTTGGCTTTTAAGCTAATGCGTACACACACACACACACACACACATATATATATATATATATATATATATATATATATATATTTATTTATTTAAAAATATGATTCCAACCCGCTACATAAGAGTTCTCATGTTTCAAAACAAGAGCCGAAAACTTCAATATAATTATTTGAATTAGTGAATTAAAGTACTAAGCTCTGTTCCAAAAAAAATTCGCTTGAAGATGGAACAGAGCTTAGTACTTTAATTCCTCACGTGCATTAGCTAGGTTAAGCAAGGATATACAATGAATTTGGGAGGAATTTATACTAACCATATATAGTAATTCATCGATCCCAGAATAAGCCCGTCCTGGGTATGACGATAAACTACGTCCAGCAGCAAGGCCTCTGGTCAGGAGGTTTTGATAAAGCGTGGAACCACCTCTTAATTGCTGGTGTACCCAGGTTTACCCTGACCCGGGGTGGTAGCCCCTGTTAGGTTCCTAGCTATGGGCAAATAGTTAATACCATAACTTGTGTAAAAATAGGCTTTAATACCAGAAACATAAGGAAAAATTATTACCAGCAATACTTTAAAAAAATACCAGCAATACAAACAGCTATACATTCTTTGGAAAAAAATATTACCAGCTATAGATTTCTTCGAGGAAAAATATTCCCAGAAATAGATTTTTGAAGAAAAACATGACCAGCAATAAAAATTTTGTCGGCATTAAATAACCGATTCAGGTTGATATAACGTAAAAAAAAGACAAACCAGAATAAGCACTGGATATGTGTGTGTATATGTGTGCGTGTGTACCTTAGTGTGTGTTTCTGTGTGTGTGCGCGCGCGTGTGTGTAGTAAGAGGGAGAGAGAAATACAGATTATTGTTGCCTTTGGATAGCAATTTTTCATTAATTCAGTTTTGGATGAAGACCGACGCAAGTTATTTGTTAATCATATTTCATATATCAAATATAATTTAGTGTATGGGCTTGATGTTTGATTCTACCTTTTTCAAATATTGCCTTTCAGTTTTTGTGTTTTTATTTTATTATTGAAATATTTTTTAATATATTAGTTCCTAAAGGATTACTAACCATTCACACAAAAATGTATAACACATAAACCTTAAAAACGACTACAAATATCAAAAGTATTAAAAATAAAATATTTCAGTGAGTTTGCGCCTAATTTTTTCCTAATCTATATCGGATGAACCTATATCACACAAAATGTGAAAAGAAATATTACACAAATCTCAAATATTGAACATAAATAAAACAAATAAACCAAAATTAGTAAAATTATATCAACTTTAGGAACAAACACGCTGAATGTATTTTAACTTTAAAAAAAAGAAGCAAAATAGCACAAACTGTATTCTGAAAAAGCAGAAAGGTTATATTTGAAAATTAACAAAACTCGCATCCAGCAAAACTAAAATGTCTTCGATAATAGATTGTGAAAATCAAACGCTATCTACTAATGGACAATTTATATTTAAATATATACCTGGAACCAGAAAAATTATCAGAAATATTGAAAAATAAATTTTAAAGATTCTTTAACATCGATCTTTCGCTGTTTTTTAACCGAACTTGTATAAATATACATTTTTGTTTTGTCTTTTTTATTAGTGTGGTGCATATTTAAATCATGATGCTGTGTAGAAAGGAAATCGTTCAACATTTTAAAGCTGCTCTGAGATCTAGAAAAAAAAATCTCCTGTTATTCGCCCAAGAATTCCTGATTTGGTTTACCATATTTTTTTGTTCTTGCGTAACAAAGAATCTATCAATAATAATGATTGCTTCTCGTCCCACTCTGACGCGAAGCTGTTAACCCAAATATTTTATTTAACAAAAATAATTAAATGAAATATTTAGAATCTTTAATAAAAAAATTCTAATCCTTCAATCAACTGTTTCAGATTGTACAAAATAAAAAATCGAGTTAATGAGACAATGTATAAAAGCTTTTACAGACAAGGCGTTTCGCCTCACTGTGATAAGCGTTTTCCGGTCAGAATGAAAGAAAAGCTATGCTCAAGGAAATTGCATTGGAATTTAATAGATAACTTATATGACAGATACTTCAGCCAGAAAGTGTTTTTTTTTTTTTTTCGTATTGAAACTGGATTTGAAATTAACCCACTCCGAGTAGATCTCGTAAACCACATTGTGGGGCTATTGCTTTTGCAGTGATCTGTGATATTGTGTATGAGCCCGGTCGGAGGTTAATCGTGAAGAATTGTGAGATTACTACACTTTTAATGCATTTTCTCCTGAGTGAATTCTTTTCTCTTCTGATCACGCTAGCATTTAATAGGTCGAAATTCCATGCACACAGTTCTTTCAATCAGACCTGGAGACGCTAACCACTGGGAGGCGAAACACGTTGTCTGTAAAAGTCAGTTCTCTTTGTCTCATTATCTTTACTTTTCTTTGTATACTATTCTACATCCTTGTGCAAATTAATTGAAACAAAACGAATGATTCCATTATTATTTACTTTTTTTTCGTATTTTTCCAATGAAACATGCTGCAGTGCACATGTTAATACTTCGTTTATTAATTCCACAAAGTCGTTGCTTGCAGATTGACCACAGATTCTCGATTGGATTTAAATCAAGAGAGTTACCGGGCTAGTCTATAGTACTTTGGTTTGCTCACTGGTGTATTCGTGCAGCGTTACGACTTTCGTACGCTCCCTTGGAGTAACGTCCATCGCAGAAAATGGCCGTAGGAACACTAATCGACATTTGAGACAATAATATCTGGGCGTGATAAAAATCTGACCCAATCACGGATGACGCAGTATAATTTTCAAGGCCAAACAAATTTCATCATGCACCTCGAAAATAGATTCCTATTACTGCACC